ATCAAGCTCTGCAGTCAAGTAAACATATCCCATTTCCTCCTTCCTCTGTCAAGTCTCTGTTCCCTGCCTAGTAGCTAGCCTGTCAGGATGGTGAACTTGTATCTGTCACTGGGATATGGGGCCAATGAATTGGTGTATTACTTCCCTGGCAACATTTGCATTTAGACTGCTGTTGTCTGGCGAAGACTCACCCTAAAGGAATACATCTGAAGACATTTAATCAATTACCTTTCTTATCATCCATCTCCTGTTTACAGATTTCTAGCACAAATTCTTGTCTAAAGATCCATATACACCACGGTGAGAAAGGACCACTGACCACTGGTCAAGAGATGTGGGTTCCATTCCTAGTGTGCCTCCAAAGAGATCAGGACCATGGAAAGGTCTTCAGCCCTCCTGGGGTCCCGGCTTGCCTATTCAACAGATGATAACCACTGGGCACTTTCTGTGTTCAGACTGGGTGTGGCATAGGAAACAAACTCCCTCATGGAATGTGCATCTCAGAGACTTTTTGCCTGGTGGAAGGGCCAGTGGATTCCAAACTCCCTCTTTTAAACAGAACTTTTTTTTTTATACCAAAGAAAGTTCTAATTTAGGATGAAATACAACTGTCATTTAGTTGAAGTGAGAGAGGAAGATATGGAGCTGAGCTCTCCCTCTAATCTCTCTTCCTGACCCCAAGGAAATCCCCGTGAGGTCTCCCGGAGCTCAAGGCTCCACACACCATGGTGTACAGACTCAAGTACCTCCCGGGACCAACAGTCCTTGATGTGTTAAGGCAACATGGTGATTATTTCTACCCCATCTGGTTTAGTGTTTCTCTGGAGCAGGTAGAACAAAACTCTCCCTGCATCTTCTGGAAAGTATTTCATCAGGCCCCACCCCAAGCCTCCACCCCAGACCACCTTGCAATAGAGGTGTTAGGTGCTTTTGACATTTGCTCGTACAACAAATAGGGGACACAGTTCTCAAAACTTTTTGATCCATCCTCTTTATACTAAGCATACTCTATTTTGTTGAAGCTTCTCAAATGACAGATAATGTGTGGCCCAGACTGGACACCACATTTTCCCTGGAAAATATTTCATTCTGACTCGACAATTAGATCACCCATCAGCTCTAGACTTCTGCCTCAGAGGTCCTGTGCCAAACCCAGTGATGCAGGTTCACAGGCAGGGAGAAGCAGGGCACAGTTCCCATTAAGACATAGGATTAACAGGCATCCATACCTGCATCTTTTTATTTATCCTCATGGCTTGTTATTTTCCAGAGTCAGAGCTTAGAGAGGATAATAATGATTGCTTATAATCTTTTGCCACTTTATATTCTTTACTGTGTCTCCCACACACACATAGCAGGGTTTAGCAGTGCAGTGTTGGGTCATGCCTCCTCCCTGCTTGTTTATTATGTGAAATATTGGCCTGACAAACCCAGGTTTTCCCATTAAGGTTGGAACCAGCACAGAGATAAACTATGGTAATAGAGTCTAGAAGGAACCAGAAACCAAACCCTAATGAAGAAAACTTAAAGGGACTGTTTTCAGAGCTCTGTGTGTAGGGAGGTTCCAGGGGATGGTATGGCACTCAGGGACCTGCAACAGCTGGGAGAAGTCACTGCCATCAAGTTTGAAGGAGTGAAGAAGGATGCAAGGGGGAAGATTCCAGAAGAAGGCACATGGAGGAAGGGGAGGGAGGAAAAAGAAAGTGGGTGAGGGAAAGGGCGGGGGGGAGGAGACCACTATAGAGAGGGCTTCCTGGCAAGAGAGACTGGCCTTTAGTGGAGGGACAGAACCAGCATAGGAGATGCAATGGAAAAAAATCTGGGAGAATAAATTCTCCACTCTCCCTCTCTTCCCTCCTTCCTTCCAACTGTCAACTGAATTCCCCATTGGCTGAACCCAAGGGGCAGCTGCGGAGGCAGGAAGCTGATTGACGTGGTCCTTATAGCCCAGCCCCAGGGCACATATTGGGAAAAGCCACAAGTGAGTGAGGAAGAGGAAAAAGAAGATAAGATACAGTATCCAGCATAGTTGGACATGACATAGCAAATGGATCTCTAGCAGTGGAGCAAGGGGCCCTTTCAGGAGATGGCCAATCTGAATGCAGAGCCCACTTGTGGGGAATAACTCACAGGGCCTGCTAGGGTAAAGCATGGAAAAGAATTAACACCAGTGTGTGCTTTGATTAGTGATCAGACTAGAAAACTCTCCTGAGTGTTGTTCAAGTAAAGGTTGGTGTTTAGTTAAACAAAGTATGTGAGCAAGTCTTCCAAATGCAAATGAACGAGTGTGCCTGAGTTCTAGTAAAGCTTTCACTGTGTAAAATGGCCATTTCTCTTTAAAAGGTCAGTTAGTAAATATTTAGCCTTTGGGGGCCACATAGTCTCTGTTATAATTACTCTACTTTGTTATTATACATAATACAAAAGAAGTTACAGACAGAAAACCTTTAGTTATAAAAATAGGCAGTAGGTTGAACTTGGCCCATGTAGGTTGAACTTGACCCCTTTTCTGTTGGAATCACCAAGTATTTCTTGAGGACTGATCTATCATGACCTCTGGTGAGCCCTGGGGCTGAATGACAAATAAGGCATGGCCCACAAATGGTATCACAGTTAGAAGGGACAGATGCATGTAAGCAGACTTTCCCAAGGCGATAGGTCCTTGAGGGTAGGGACCAAGGAGTAGCAGGTGCATCCCTTGGAAGAAGTGTGCAGGTCTTCCAAGGAAGGAATCACCCGCAGGCCAGCTAGAAGGGTCCAGCCTGAGGATTCAGGATTAGATGATGTTGTAGGGTCCTGAAGATTGTGGTTTGATAGTCTGCATTCACAGTGAGCAGCTGCACACTGGTTAGGAGCATGACTTTCATTGACCCTACAGATCTCTTATTCAAAGCTGCATGACCTTAGACAGAGTGTCCAGTCCCTCATCTCTAAAATGGATTTGCATGGCTTAGGCAGATGAAATTGTATACACAGCATATTTGTTGAAAGAAAGGATTCTCCCTCAAGAATAGCTACTACTGTAATTAGTTTAGAGTTTCCCACAATGCCTTGGGAAGCTACTCTGCCCCAGGACTGATGTGCCAGCCTCACTAAGAATATAAAGCAAATGCCTTGCTTGTTGGTAATAACAATGCTATTAATAACAGCACTGGTTGTACTAAAAAAAGTAGTGGTAATGGTTGCTACCATTTAATTAGCACTATCTGTTTGCCAGGAACCATGCTGAGAAATTTACAAGGGTAATCTCACTTACTCTGCTTCCCAACTCTGGAGGCAGGGCCTT